AGAAAAAAGTCATTTCTGCGTACTGCCATGTCCGTATGCAATGCACTCGCTGCACCAGTGAACAACTTACTTTATCTCTTTTGCGTTGAAATTCAATCCGCAGCTATTGTGGTACATACGAATAGATCGCGGTCGTGTGGTACTTTGAAAATTGTTTTATGCAATTGTAGCAAAGGGATGATTTGTGTAGAAAAATATTAGTACATATCGCTCAAATGTTCAAGTCAAAAGTATTTTAAATAAAATTCAGAAAAATATAGAGATTATTTCAGAGCTGCTGAACATTCGTCTTGCTTAGGCAATTAAGCAATAAAAAGCAACGAATTTTTTTTAAAATTCAAAACACAAATTCAATATAAAGGATCGATCCAAACTATTTTCCAAATATTTTAAATTTTTTCAGTTATCTCCGTATAAATGTTTGTGCTTTACAAAATTGCAATATTGTTTGTGTTTAATTACTGTTGTTAAATAAAAACTACAAATATGTACATACTCCAATACGAAATATACAAAAGCGAACAAATTTGTAATGCCGCTATTTACTATTGTCCAAACCATTATCATATATGCTCTTTATATTTATACGTATGACATCACGTACCGAATTGTAATATGAAATAAAAAGAAAATTGTTCTTTCGCATATAGGTATGTACATATATATATGTGTATATATATATATATGTGTGTGTGTGTATTATATATATATATATAGAGAGAGAGAGAGAGAGAGAGAGCAAATAGAAGAGATGAAATTACGCGTGTTCGTTGATATTTCATTAATTTTACTAAAGAGGAAATCGTCACGCAAATATTTATTGAAATGGATGACTAAATTTTACGTGTTACTAAATACAACGCTTTTTCTTGTTTATTACATACATTTTTTTTAACATTAAAAAATAAATCTATACCACATTATCTCAATAAAATTCATTATACTATTATTACATGATCGTTATATAAATATATTGTTATACCACAGTCATCAATAATAGATAACAAATTCGCTTTTTATATATCACGGTTATCGCACATACATATAATACAAGTAGAGAAAAGATTTAATCAACACAGCTAAAATAGAACTGTGGCAATTAAAACGTGTCTTTATAATAGGGACAGTTATTGTCATTGCTGTCAAAGCTTAATTTATTAACTACTAAAATTTAGGTACTGCAGTGAAAAATATTCTCTGCTAGAATAAAATGATAATCAGCAATGTCTCAGAATTGCAAATGGAATGTTCAGTTACGTGACTAAGATAGTGACGAAGCGTGTTTAACATAAGTTGCCACTTACTTAACAACTTATGTTAAGCACGCTTTTAATTTTAACTAATAAAATTGGATGTTGACAACAAATGTATTTTATCTTCAATAGCCAACTTTTATCAATAACAGCAAAGTTTGAACCAGTAACTGATATTTAGTTGATATTACTAAGTCCTTTTTTTGCGTGTAGGAAGTCTACTTTTTTATGTCGTTGTCACGAACAGTTTATTATCCCATTAGAAAGGATATCACGACGGCTGAGTTACATGCTTTCGTGAAAATTTTGTCAGCAGTTTTCTTGGTGTTCAGCCAGAGTGTCACTATACGTTACTAAAAAGAGACATCGGGACACCATGGAACGGCGAGATATCGCGACACGATAGCGTTTGATGATAATTGAACAAACGATTTTTCTACTGAAGAATTATATGCTGAATGTGTATAGAACAATAATAAAGAAATATATAGTGCGACCGCTGTGACAGACATCTTAATTTAATCGTCTTTTCCGATAACTACGGAGAAAATATATTGAAGAAATAGTCCGCAGGGGAGAAACTCATTAAAAATTTTTTTTCTTTACTTCCGCATTGATCGATAGATGGGCAAATAAAATAAACTATTCATTAGTTTTTAGTAAACCGTGACATTTCGATTCAATTTAATCCGCATGAAAACATTCTTTTTTTCTTACATTTTATCTGCTCTTCAAGGAGCTTAGTTTAAATCATAATATTCAACAAGAAAGTACAAATCAATAAATCAGAAATTGTGGAAGTACATAAAATTTTACAATATATACTATCGATAAAATAAAAACTTTTAACAATAATTGTTGATAAATTTATTATTATTCTGCAAATGTCTTTTGCATAATTAAAATTATATAACAGCACTTTAAAAGAGTTTGGTGAAGAAGAGTCTTTGCTTTAATTGGAATTCTGATTGAAAATGGACAAATTAGGATTTTCTGGTTGAATCTATTATAATTCTAATTGAGAGATAACCAGAATTCTGATTAATATGATCAGAATTTTCTGGTTTGTCCATTTCTTACCAGAAATTTTTCTTAGTGAAGGTTATGGTAATTGCTTAGTAAGCAATAATGAAAAATTACTTGGTAATGTAAGAAAGAAATTGATTGCAATAAAAAAGATAAAGAAGGGTCTTGTTAAGTCGTAGTGACATCTTGAAAAGTCATTGCCATTATAAAGATCCAAGACATAATATATTATCGTCCTATAACATCTCATAATTCTTATTACTAAAGTTGAGAACACTCTGTATATCATGACAAGAACCATAACTTTAAGCGCAGCTTAAAATTTAAAAATTTACATTTTTCACACACGTTTATATTCAATGCCATTCAAAAATGTTAACATTAGCAATTTTACAGTGAAGGATAATCTAGAAAATGGAAAAATTAATTGAAAAGCTAAAATGTAAATAGAAACTGAAATAATTGATAAGTAAATATATAAAAGATAATCTATTAATTAAAAAATTGTTATAGAGAATCACCGGTTTTCGTTCTAAAAAGAGTTAAAATATTTAAAGGTATGGTAATTCTGAAAAAAAAAAATTGAAATAAATCTTATTTCTAATTATTTCTAGTCATATATATATATAAAATAAGAAATATAACAAAATTATAGATATTTGTGCAAACAAATCTCTGCTGAAGGAAGTGACATTCAGTATAATCCCGGAGAGAAATAAATGAATACCGGGAATATTCGTGTTAAAAAATGTGACAGTTTAAGAATATTTATGTCCGAGTAACTGATGACGGGAGGAGAAAAGGGCCGTTTAGGAAGACATCAAATCGTTGATGAATGCGAACTTTATCTCAATCCTCTTTGCATAGGAAGTGGTCAGGGTCGTTGTTCACTAACGCGGATAAGACGACTCCACTTCACTTTATAGTCTTCTATCTATGTTCTTCCAGAAAACGTATAAAATCAACGTAGATACTTCATTTTCTTTCCTACTTCGTTCTCTCTCTCTCTCTCTCTCTTTCTCTCTCTCTCTCTCTCTCTCTCTCTCTTCCGGAATTTCCTTCCGTTCTTCCCCTTAAAATCTCTGTATGCTCTTGTCCGCTAAGTTTCATAGTTTTAGTAACATCATTTTATACCGCGTTATCTTCTGCAAACAGCATGAAGGATGTAAATATTTAGAATTTTCATAGCTCTTATATCTTGTAATATAATTAGGAATTTATCTCTAAAGAGAGAGAGAGGGGGGGAGGGAGAGAGAGAATATTAATAATCTTTGCGCGGTTAAGATGATTCCTCTCACATGAAACCTGCTTCTCCCACGTAAATCCTGCGAGATGAAGCTTTAATTCCTTTCCGCAAAACATACGACGCGAACATTGTCAAATATACGAGCTTAATTTGGGAGCATGGTCAGAGAAGACAAGCACAGTAATCCAGGTGGGAAGCAATTTCGGTTCTTCATCAGAACTGCCTTATATACTTAAAACGAAAGGAGGATGCCCTGTGTACTATTCTCGCCCTGTTCTCTTCCTACTTTCAACTCCTATCTTTCCTTTCTAAAGGTACTTCGCGTGGTAAGACTATGTGAGAAAGCAATTTTTAAACCATGTCACCAAAGCCTATGTAATAGCGCCAGATTGGATTGGCGGAGTTGCGATCGTTCTGCGAAACCGCAAGAAGTAGATCTCACACTTTGAGCCAAAGTGTGGTCAGTGTCGAGGAAACTCGGTAATCCAGATAAGATGCAATTCTGTTTCTTGCAGTGAGCCTTCGAGGAGACAAGATATTGCGAGGATGAAGCTCTTCAAGTCTATCGATTCAATATTGCTCATTGTGCATCGCAAATCTGTTTTAAGATTTTTATCTTAAGAAACAGATAATATATATATACGTTATACATAAAATAAAATAAAAATTAGATTTTTTTAGATAAAAATAATTTTGTTGAAAACAATTTTTATCTAAAAAAAAAAACAAACTGATTATTAGAGAATATCAAAATTTTTTGTAGTAGAATTGTTTATCATTTTTTAGTTCCTAATAATTATTTTCAACAAAATTCTGTTTAGATCTGTCAATAAAATCATCATTTTAAATCTTTCAGCAAAATTGTTCTTCCCATATAATTCTCTTTAAACTTTTCCTAAACTTTGTCGTAATAATACAGTTTCTTGCGAGACTTCATGTGTAAATTTATCGCAATTTCGAAATGTACAGTTTATCTGAATTTCCAGTTGTACTTCGTAACTCCCTGACGACTACACGCCCGTGTCGTAAGCGACAAAATGGTCAGGGTCGCGTGAATCCGCTAACCCAGATAGATGAATGCAGGCTTGTTTCTTTGTGGAGTTGTCTTCAGCACTCACGCAGGATGTCGAATGAGGATTCTGTGTATTTCGTGCGCACACATCATCCTTTTCTTCTGCACGTCTCGTATCTTTCTCTCTCCTCTCGAATCTCTTTCTCTTTCAAACCACTATGCCTTCCCTTCTTCTCCCTCTTTCTATCTATCTCTCTCTATCACTAAGCACCCCTTTCGAGCTACCCCTCGAAGGCCACCCACTACCCCGCACTGCCTGTCCGCGCATTCATCCGGGGGTGGCGGTAAGTTCTCGCGCAGCCAGTGCCCGCGCGTCTCTCGCGATCGTCGGACCGCGCGTACGTAAAACGGGGAGGTTCTCGTCGTCGTCGTCGTCGTCGCGTGCGAATGTTTGGCGTGTGAATTTTCGCAAGCCGGTTGAGAAAAATCGCGTGACCCAATGCGTCGGAAATAGGCTCGATGTTCTCCTGCGAGTGGATACGGAGAGCTCGAGGGAATGTTTTCGATTATTCGACGATGGGATCAGTCAGTTCTCGATCAGCGATCTTGAAATTCTTTGGGGAGTTAGACGGTGATCGGTGAACGCGAAACTTGAAGAGGATCCATCGCACGAATGATTAACGCAATATCTCTCACGGAAGAAGATTTTAACTTCAAACAAGCTGTTAGAAAGCTTCACGATTTTTTAACATAAGAAATCAAGGAATTATACATTGTGGACCTGAACATAGAAGTACATTCTTGAATTCTTACTTCTTTTAAACGCGGATAATGATAAAGTGAAGATGAGATATAGCGACATGGTAACAAAAACATATGAGTGGTTTTAAAAAAATGGAGAGAACAATTAATTCAATTGTGTGATGAGAAAGCAAAAAAGATCACGGTAATTCTATGAAAACAGTGCGAGAATGATAGAGCATATCAAGGATTAAAGGAGACGCGTCGGAATGTTAAGGGCGTCACGGTTGTTCTGAACCAGGTCGAGTGAACGAAAGAAGAGTTTTATCTTTTATCTTTCTAGAGGATCGTTGTCGGCAATCATGTTGTACGGGATGAGTCTCGGGAGATGCATCAATATCTTCTACATCGCATAGACGAATGTAAGTGTTATCTCGTATAAGAGTTATCAGTTATTGTTGTTCAAATTGTAAAAAAAATTAGATATTTAAAAAAATATACAAAGGGCCATTTCGAAATACAAATAATAAAAAATTATACAAATCTTGTCAATAAATTCAACAGTTTTAAGTAAAAAGTGATATAAAAGTATATAGCTAAAATTAGTCTCGTTCAATTCTTCTCGAGAAGAAATAAATAATGAGTTTAAGAAATTAAACTTAAAATATAAAATATTAAAATATAAATGTCGATGTTAGGCGTTATTTAATGAAATTGTATAATACTTTAATATAACATATTTAATTAAAATGAGTAATAGATAAGTTATGTGAGATTACGCGTTAGTTATTATTCATTCAGGAAGGCTCGTTAAAATGCTCGTATGATGATATAGTACAAATGTTTTCTACTAATAAGCTTTAGACTATATCAATAAAATCTTTTCTCTTGAAACATTATATGTGCACCCGCGCGCGCGCGCATACACATACAAATACGCATATGAACACACCTAGATACACACAAATACACGCACATACACACACACACAATGTGAAAATGGTGGTATACGAAGAGATGAACGCGATGAATAGTGTTAATACCACATAAAGAAGATCAGTCAACCCTTTTGCTGTCTGCTTGCATATCCTTGTTAACGAGTATCCGAATATTTCAAAATAACCAGAAACACGGTTTGTAATACCTACTTTCATAAGTACAATTTCGAGTATCATAGAAATTTTGAGACTATATTATCACGATACGAAGGATTCGCGCAACTCCCAAAGGATTATAACTTTCGCAAGCGATTGTTAAGCGCGGCATATTGAATAATCGATAATATATTATCTTTCCGGAAATTTGTACTGTAGTAATATTGCAATAATTGTTTATAATCTCTTGTATCAATAAATAAAAAACTTTCATATAATCACCGGATCATATATGTGAAATATAACTTATTTATTTATTGTGCAATTAGTATTGTATAATTTATATAATTCATATACAACACGAAACTTTCAATTTAATATTATTTCTTTTACTTTTATAAATTTTGCTAATATATAAAACTCATTCAAATATAAGAAAAATTTATTCGGATTTATATAAATTAATTTCATTGTCCGGTAAATTTTTGCTGTATATAAAATACTTTTAGCAACAAGGAAAAAATATAATATACTGTAAATATATTGTAAAATAATTGAGAAAGAATTAAGAAATTTAATAAAGAAGTTACTATATTAAAGAAAAAACTATATACATATTATAATAAAAACTGAAATACTGATGCATTTTGAATAGCTCTTAAACTAAACGTATCTAAATTTATTGTTGTTTACGAAATGTTTGCTTAATATCGAGCTAAATATATAATGAAGTTGTTGTTAATCTGTACGGATTAGAATAATCAGCATAATCATTAATCATAGTTATTATCACAACGTATCAATTACACAATTAGATGTATTAATAACATTATTAGACCTTTTCGAAACCTTTTTGAAACGCGATAATATCCGTAAATTCCACATCATTTCCAACCGAGCGATAATTAATGAATACGATAGCTCAAATATCATCATTACTTATACCCTCTTTCTCGCTTTCCCTTTCCTTTCGTCTCATATGTACCAGTATTATTCAATTAATTGAACTCGTTCTCATTAAACATATTCCAAGTGTAATTATTTTTCCTCTTATCTTAATTGAGGTCACTCATTTGCAAAAGTAATAATCAACACTTAAAAATGTTTTCCCTTTTTTATATTTATGTTAAATTCAAATAAAAATAAAATATAATACTAAACATAAAGGAAAAATTGATAAAACAAATTTAATAAAAAAATAATAAATGAAAATAAAAGAGTTAATAACCCTAAATAAAATACATAGTAAAGATTTAAACTTTTGGTGTAACTTGATCCATTTTTCTTCTTTGATTTTAGGATTCATAATTAGTTTTACATAATTTAAAGTTTTAAATAATTTTAATTCATAATCAAAATATTAAAAAATCCAAGAGTTTCACAATATCTCATTTTTTGTACAATAACTTTTGCATTACGGTTACTCAATTTTCAACAGCCTTTTTTACTTTAATATATATAGATACGTTAAGTTATTTAATACAATATTATTATATATACAATTATCAGTTTAAATAAACCTTCAGGAATATTTTAGAAAAGGCTTTAAAATGTTCTTTATTTAATATATACACGGTGAACTTTATTTAATATATATACAATTTTGAGCTAACTGCTTCGTAAATCTCGATTTTAACTTTAATAGAGATATATTTAAAAATTTTTTACATAAATGATAGTTTTTACTTTTATTATATTGGCATTAAAATTGATGCTAATTATATTTCAAATTAAAATATTAAGAACTCAAAACTGATAATTATATTAGAATGAGCAATTAAATTTCTCATATATGGCTCACATAGTTTAAAATTATTTATTTTTAATTGTTTATGAGTTTTGTTATCGAAAAAAATGTTATCGAATATTTTCTGAATATTTTCATTAATAGTATTATTAAAAAGCGCGTGTAATACTTGTTAATTAGTTTGCAAATACTCATTACATATATACATATATAAATATATATATATATATTTATACATATATGTAGAAGGTTTCATCGCTAATTAATATATTCACAATATAATTCAGATTCTCACCTCATCAGTGTTACTGATATAATATTAAACTGCAGATTTAATATTTATAATAATTAAATCGTAGGTATGACTGCTCAATTTAGTAATAAAAATTAATTTATAACAAAACGCTGATGTCGTTGTCTGTGATTTATATTTTTATCTTTTTGTTAAATAAATTCTATCTTATTTAGCAATCAATATCTTTCTCTCCTTAGTTATATTCTTTATTATATATCCGATAACTTATTACTAAAAAGATAATTATTACAAATTGTAATAATTAATGTAACTCCAATAAAGAAAAATATACTACGTTTTTATTAAAATATAATAACAAATGCAAATGTAGCTACGTGTACTTTTTACATCGCACTTCTAATTTTTATTAAAAAATAGATATACTAAGTGTCCTTTTTTGCCATATGCATACTTCCTATTCGCAAAGAGAAGCTCCCGAAGAGCATCGTTGGGCTTCCACGTGAGTAAAGCGGGTTTCGTGGAAATGTGGCACATTGCATTGTATAATACGATAACGTACCTAATAACTTCTTTTCTCCTGCCTTAAGCATCTTTCCTCTTGACTCGCGTCCTGTGTGCGCGGTTACACCTAGTCTCTAAGTAATCGAGACAAACGGGAAATGCGCTCGTCAAATGTTTCCTTCCTTGCAGCTTGATATTTCTAAAGCATACATTTCCTGAAAATGTCTCTACGTGTTAGACATTCATAATTTTCCAGTCTGCATTTATTTCAAACAACTTTATGCAGCTGTTTCGTACTATGTATTTCTATCTCTCTTCAATTTCGTAATTTCTTCAGACAGAGTTAAAAGACAGAGCTAAAAGACATGTAAAATACATGTATTTAATCAAAGGTGATATTAATATCAATTTTTATAAAAAATAAAAATATATATGTTCTATATTAATTTTATAATTTATTAATGTTAAATATTTGAAAAATTCGTGATTTTTCGGTTTGCCATTATTTACTGATACTCTAGAGAATTTATTTATACACAAATAAGGCATTTAAAAAAACTTTATTTCTCAAGGAAAAAGCTAAAAATTATTACAGCTGCCCGAAAAATCTCATTTTCTAAGATTAAAAATGAAAGATGTAAATTGAAATGTCATAAACAAGCTTAATATCAGTTAATATATCATACATGTTACTACACGATTAATTTCTTTGATTCGTATTCGATCGTAGATTTATCTATCTACATGTTGCAAAGGTGTTTCACACGAGCGACGGTAGAATTATCGATTAACCATTTACCGTTTCTTAGATTATTAAATCTCGCCCAACCATGGCGCGTCAACTTTCTTCCTAAATCCCTCCGAGAATATGGAAGTTATGAAATTCTTGCTGACACCGTCGTGTTATTAATTACATAACTACCCATCGAGCATTCATTCGCAACGCAATGTATCGCGATGTATTTCCTTCGACTATAAGAGACTCCAATAATTTTTAGAAATTTATTACAGTCGATCGCGGTCATTCGAAGCGAAAGAAAATGAAACGTGAAGGTTCGGAAGTTTACATCCGTTTCACAGGAAATATCGTGTGTCTTGACTAGCCGTTAAAGCTTGATTGGTGATTCGTTATTTCGACAATGCGCGTCGATTTTACACCTCCTATACCACTTGCTTCACAACTTCTCTCCAGATTGTGGTTGTGGTTGTGGTATCGTGTAGCATCAATCTGCTACGTCCCATCTATTCCTTCTCTGTGTCCGCGTTTCGTAATAAAACTAAGTTATTTAAATCCTCGCGTTGAAATTGTATTTTGTATACACATCAGAAATACTTTATAATATTGTATCTTTTTTTGAATTTCATGATTTATTTTCTATCAAATGATAGCGTATATTTAAAACTCTTTTTAAATATAAGTATAGGGATTTTACGAACTATAATAAATATTATTTGTGACTTAATAATTGATTTACTATCTATTTAATTTTGAAGTGTTTAATTAATCGAAGTTATGGATCTTATATTTGAATTTGTGTGTATTGTAAAATCACGTTTGTTCATACAGTTTCAGTTCAAAGAACTGCATCTCTGTATTAAACATTAATACAGAGATAATTTTAGTTTTTTAATAAACTTTCGTTGATTGATTAATTTTGACAAGCAAATCTTAAAATTTTTATCAATTGTCCGTAATGCTTTACATTCTTATGATAAAATATGCTGCAATTCTAGAATTTGTTCTTGTAAAATTTGTAATAATTTATGATTGAATGTAATTTTATTAGAGATGTACACAACCATTTATAAATATCTACAATTTCTTATAACTTTTATTTCTCTAGCAAGAAATCATTTGTAAAGTTATGATTCGTGAATTTAGTCTTTTAATATCTATAGTATTTAGTAATTTAATATTGTCAGTATTATTATACAGGATGTTTGTAAATTGGTACAATCAAAAAGGGAGATTATTATTTCTACTCATATTTGTGTTTATTATTTATATTAGGTAATTGAGAATACACAATAAAACAAGATATTCACGCATGGCAAATATTATTACTTTCTGTTGAAATTGTTGAAAATATTGCCCATTTTGTTGAATATACAATTCTGCTTTCTGAAGTAAATCTCTATAAATGCTTTTTAACGTATTTTGGTGCATTAATTTATCAATTAAATCAATACCCGGCAAATATTTAAAGCCGATATTCTCGAAAACAAAGCTATATATGAAAAGATTTTGTTTTTTTTTTGTCTATTTTTTTCATATAAAATTCCTTCCCAGTTATACTATCAATTCATGAACATCATAATAAAAATATATATACTACAAAAATAAGCGTGTAAAAAATGGCTTCAATATTGTGTGTGTATATGTGATTAGTTTTCCGTATAAAAATAACACATTATACATACAATATGGATATAATATGCAATAAATATGTTATTTTTACGCGGCAAACTAATCATACATATACACATATATTGAAAACACTTTTTATACATTTGCAATGTAAACATATTACACATACATTGGAATTTTAAAAAGAAAAATATATATAAACAAGAAGTAATATAATCCAACTTTCTAAAAATTATGGTAAGAAAACAATCGAAATACCTCATGCTTCAAATAATTTGATAACCTTCCTTTCATGCACTTTCAAATAACAGCGCAGTATACAATTCAATGAACTTACTCATCATATACGAATATATAACATACGGTACGGATATATGTACAAATGTATGGAATTGCAGTTTACGTAAAACTCAGTATAACTCAGTTTCTTACAGCATTATTCCGTAAGCTACAAATTTACGGTTTTAAGATTTATACAGAATTTATTTAGAAACGTAACATAAAGACGCGATATCAAATAGTTTGAAACATTCTACTCAAACTAGAATAAAGTAAATACGTAAATTGTAGAATTAAATAATACTAAGAAAAAGAAAAAAAATTCTTCAGAAAAAAGAAAAAACTTTTCCTCAGAATTATAGTTACTAGCAATTTTTTACGATCTATAGACATGGTCATTGCTACCAAGTTAATCCCTCTCGATCGTAAAACCTATAAAGAGCAGGTGTAATGCAATTTTTATCGGCGATAAAACGCACTGCGAATGTTATTCACTACCGCAAAAAAGAGTGTTCTCTTTCTTCATATATTCAATTCCTTAAACATATGTGTAACTGTGTTACTATAAATTATGAATTGCATAATTATAATGAACATACATTTAATTCTTTAAATGTATGTAATTGTTACTCATAAATTATTAATTAATAATATTAATAATAAATGTTACTATAAATCATTTATTAGTAATATTAATAAATAAACATCAATTAATAAAAAAAATTACATTTGCATTTATCTTTTTTATACTTCGTTGAAACATGTTTTTAACGCACATGCTTTAAAATAAATTTTTAAAAATGTGCATAATTTTATGATATATTTTTCATCATGATTTGATTGACTTGATAAAAATATAATTAGAATGACGATTTTACTAAGGGCGAAAATCTGCCTCGAGTCACTAAGAGAACTGTGCGAGAGAAAGGAGAGTGAACGCCACACGTAATCGCCGACGGGGAAAAGACGGCAGAACGAAAAAAGGCAAATTTCAAACGCAACGAACGCACCTACGTAATCAAGCGGCGCGCTTAGAACCGCGCCATTCAGCAAACAAACACGCAGCGAGAGGCAAAGTTACCCCCGACTAAATTGGGTTAGTTGAAATCCGTTTACGCTAACTCTAATGGCAAAAGCGTGAGCCGCATGCGGTATCGACACCAAACTTCTGTTGAGAGTCAGTCGTCCGCGCGAGGGTGGATTCGACGAGTGGTATGCGCGAGGTCTTTACTCTCCTGACCAGCATTTTGAACATCAAATATTGATACCGAGGGCTAATCCCAGTCAGCTTTCCGCTTCCACTTTACGCATCGTACGTTACAGCGTAGATCATTACCACATGAAAAGAATCTAACAGGTCAATGTTACAATAGATAAAAAAATTTTTAACCGATAATTTAACTGATATTAATAACGGAAATGTAATTAATTGGCTTCTTCACATTTGCGCACAGTGTACGAGTAATTCGAATCGCATAATCGAAGCCTTGCATTTCGCGTTATTTGACATTTATATGTTATATCATGTAACGACATGTACCTACGTCTATCGACAGATACTAGTGTAATTAAATTTATATCTATGATATTAATAATCATAGAGGTTACGAAGTAACTTGTAGTTAGTCAAATAAATGAGATATCACAGCAAAATAGATTATCGCACGAATAATATTAATTTCGCACGAATAATAATTAATTTCACGTATTAAAACGTATTTATCAGCAATGAGAACATAAGCGAATTGCTAATCAAATATTTAAGTAATTAAGTATGTAATATTAACCCTTAGTACATATAATGGATTATTACATATATAATGATTTTCCGACCCTTTATTACACATAATAGATTATTTATCTCCAAGGCTCTTTATCACAATTCTCATTTTTACACGTATATAGAAATTATTAGAGGATTTTTATATACTTAATTATAAATAAATAATTTTACGTTGATTAAAATATGCTTATCAGTAATGAGAACAATGTAAGCGATATTTGCTAATCAAATGTTTACCTAATTAAATATAGAGTATGTAATTAATTAATATAAACCTTTACTGCACATAATGGCTTGTTTTGTCGTTTGAGTTAATTACATGGTGCCCTTAGTATTTCAAAGAAAAGAAATGCGCAGGAATCTAATTATTAAGGTATTAAAGATTAATATAGACTAAAAAATCAGATATTGTGCGCTGGTATAATCATATGTATATAATAACTATATGTCAATGATACTCGCTACACAGAGAGAACGATTTTGCTGACATATTCAAAAATTTAGGTAGATACAGAACTGAATATAATTCTGTTAGAGTAATATCATCAAAAATTTTTGATCGGATACTCAAACTGATTGCTAGAATATCAATTGAATCTCCTATCTAAAAATTTTGATGGTCTAACAAAATTATTTTCAGATTTGTATCTAGCTAAAGTTTTGAAACTTCAGCAAAATCTTTCTCTATATAGATACATTCAGACATCAAGAAAAAAGAATAATAATAAATATATCGAACATGAAATACAAAATTGTTGAGCACGCAAATTCACGAAATTTTCCACCGTTAAACATTTCACGGTAGAAATTATAACGTTATTGTGTCTCTCGTCGCTATTTTGCGGTATTTCTTGTAGTTTGCTCCACGGAATGTTGAAATTGAGGGAGTTTGCTTGCTGCGAAAGCGCTTGATTCAACTACATTTTTCTCGTAACACAGTTTTAAGTACGAACTCTATCTGTCGCGTTAGCGTGATCGAAGTTACGGGAACGAGACTGTCGCGCAACACAATGCGGCAGGTCGAGGTAGAATCGGGCGTGGAGACATTATCGTGGCAGAACCAAAAACTTCAGAATCGCTTCGGAAATAAAGGGACTCTCTTGTTCCCTTGGTATCTCCGGCACCAGCGTAATGGAGGTCGTATCTACTAGGAAGGTCGAACTCTCTTTTTTCCATCTATCCCTCCGGAAAATGCACCTCCGGGAATGGAGACGTGGGCCCCCTGCTGATTTCACTCCAGAGACTTTAGTCCTTTTCTCGCCTCTCCGAGGTTAAATATAACTAAATAAAACTAAACTAAACCATGTTTTAACATTGTTGATATGTGTTCACAGATTACATTAAATCATAATTTTGATTATACTAAACAGATTATATTAAAAAGAAGAATGCCCTTCAAATCACAATCTCTCTTTTAGAAAGTTATTATTAGTGCTATATATAAGTGATGCTATCGTGCATTGTTAATTACTTTTCTTTAATTTGATTATATTGCTTGAAATAAGACCTAATATTTTTTGTATATACTTGAAGGCTTAACTTAAATTAGAAAATCATCTTTTAAATATAAAATTATTATAAACTAAATATAAAATAAATTAAAAATTATCTTTTAACTATTCTTAGGTAATTATAAATAAATATTTATTTTCTTTTGAAACGCAGAAAGGAAAACAAGCGACTAGAAACAATATACGTAAATTCTATATATTTAAATTCTTATTTAGCTATGAATTTCAACCAATTTCACATTTCTAATGATATTTACAAGCTTATATTTTTCGTTTTGGACGAAATTCATAAATCGTAACCTACTAGTTGTTACTTTCAACAAACGATCCCATATAAAACCGTACTAGCCATTTAAGCAATTAATTTACCAGCGAAAAAGCACGGCCTCCAGCAGATTGCATTTTGCTGGTTTGTTCAGGTCCTGATTTTATGAGGTCAGTTATTTTACGCCTGCATTGTTTTCCCGGCAGATGTCCATTTGATCAGAAAACTATATCAATGAACAAATATGAGTAATGTTGCGTGATTTGCAGGCATACTTGTGTAATGACGAAAAATTACAAAAAATTTATTTCTTTGTATGCGTATAGTTGAAAATTAAAAAATAATTAAAATAAAAGTATTTTATTATTATATCGTATAATAAAAAAGTTGCGGTAATATAATATTTTAAATGTCACAAAATGAAATTTATTTATTAAATTTTACTCATATTTTCTGTATTCTAATTTTTTTTTTAATTAAAATGAGTATCATGCAATCTCATAGTTTTGCGTTTCAATATTATCATCTGTTTTGATGTTGTATTACGAGTTTTTTCTTTTTATTTTTCAGATCAAGCCTGCACGGAAGATGATGGTCGTTTAAGAATCTCATTCAATGTGCAACGAGTTTCTGAAGATGTGTAGTTTGGTGTTAAAGTGTCGGTGAAATCGAAGCAACTTCGCGTATCTATGATTTCCTTTCCGTTCCTTCATCGCACTTTGACTTACGGAAAATCCGCACGAACGATGTCATAGTCGTCCAAGTGCGAATTATTTTCACGTTAGACACAATGGCACTGTTGTTCGTCATAATCGTCGTTTCGATCACCACTGCCATGTCGCTTCCGCCGGTCATTAGAATCGGTAAGTACATATCGATCGAGTCTGTTAACTTTCAATTACTTATGCACGGAGTTATAATTAATGCAATTGGCTCCATCATTTAATATGCCTTCTCATGCATAATAGTATAACTTAATTGTTTCATAATTAATTAATTATGGGTTACTATAACTGAAAATCACATTTCTCATAATACATTATTTTGCATTACTTAGACTACACATTTATATAAAATATTGTAATTAAAGATGAATTATTATTTCCTTTTACGCAATAAATGTTTTAAACGAACATTGTAATTAAAAATCCATTTTGCTATTTTATATGTAAAATTTATAATTAAGAATTTAATCTGTCTTATTTCTATCTCTTTTTTATTTTTGAACATTTTCACTGAACATTCTCAAATCTGAAAATATTTTTTTCAAATTAAGTTATATAATATGCAGTGATGCTCTCGTCGTTTTCAATCGGTATTTTCATATAATTTACGGTTTATCATGCACGTCATTAATTTATACAAAACATTCGTGCATAAATATTGTACGATGTATATTAGTACACATACAGCATAATTCGCTTGTAAGTTGTCAATTAGTTTAACTATTCGTGTAAAAATTTTTATTTTACTCATGTAAAAAATACATCCATCAATTAAATAATGAAATTAATTTCGTATTTAATTCAAAAATTTTAATTAAATATACATGAGTTATTCTTGAATATTTAGAAAAAGTTATATTTTTATAAAAAACCTTCGAAGACATTATTTCCTCTAATATCATGTATATTAAACACACCTTCGAAATTACAAGAATTACTCATAATATTTGTAAGAATTAGCAGTCAAATTTTATTTCGCGATTTCACGTTTCAGACAACTTGCAAAACAATAATAATTTCGTATTCTCTCGCGCATTATATTCAACGGAGTTGTCAAGAGCGGCAGCTGGAAATCAGTTCCAGGAGACGATCTTCGGCGCATATAGAGAATTGTCTTTGGCTTCTTCCGCTACGCGGACCGCAAAACTTGTCCGAAACTTTCTATCGCTTGATTACACTTCGCTGTAGCGTAAGTAGATGCACGCGCGGTTTGGAATTACAGAGTCCGCCGCTAAGTACGCGTAGAGATCGAATCTTCACCGTGCACTGTCTTCATCAGTATAGGGTTCATTAGGTATTCCCGGGGCGTTCGCGTGGGTGTAGAATAGACGTGTCCGTGCGTGGGATGCCGAGCTTCGACTTCGGGCCGTGCGTATCACACCATCCGTTCAGAACAGGCACGCACGTATACACGCGTCCATGACGCGAAGAGCAGGACTTGAGGTTGCTTGCTCACCGGTTAAGCCCTGCGATAGGAAAGTTTTCCATCGATTTAATTGGTTGAATTTCTCTGTGAGGCCACCGCCTTAGGGGAAACTTGTCCGCAATTTCCTATGATGTCGGCGAGAATGAAGCGAGGGCGATAAGGCGAGCAGGCTTATCAAGATGGGACGTGAACGTCCACATATATAAGATGAATGAGAGACCGAAAGAAAGTAAGGCGTCCCCAAAGGACGAAGGCTCTGGCGTCTCGAATCGCGGAAACTTTTCCAGATCATGAAGAAAATATAGAGGATATAGCGTATTCATTTGTTCCAAACAATAATCTTCCTCGTGTTTGGAAAGTACTAATTGAAATACAATATCTGTCTCGCACAGTGCATTCGAAAGTGGATGTGTAATGACAATGGAAATACAAATGGTAAAATTAATAGATGATATACGGAAAAAATAATTTTGCTGAAATATCTCTAAAAATGTAGCTAGATACAAATTTAAAAATAATTTTAGACTATTAAAATAATTATGTAAGAAATTCAAGAATGCTGAGCAATGCTGTAAAAAACTTGATATTCTGGCAATCAGCTTAAGCGCTTTATAAAATAATGATTTTAATAATTATTTTGAGTCAACAAGATTATTTTCAAATTTTTCAGTTATATATAATTTATAAATATTTAAATTATAACAGTAATAAAGGCATGTATATCAATATATTAATTCTCGACGAGATAAAAGTTAATCAATAATTAGTTTTCCATATAATAACACACACACAATATATGGTTTTTTTATTGCCGTATTGCTGCATCGTTTGAAATATTTTTATAAAAATATGATTTGTTAATTTATAAAATATATTTTTTCAATTATATTTAATCAAATTTCAAAGCAAAAAACAATTTCACACACAATTATATTAAAATTGTTGAGTAAAATCGTTATCTAGTAACTATCTAATTTTTCAAAGTTTCGTAACATTATTCAGATTTAATACTTAATTGACTTGTACTTGCACATGCAATTTTATGCAGTAATTATCTCAATATTGAATAACAACCGCAAGCTATCAATAATCCATTCGGAAAACGAGCACTCGCCCGAGCGAAAACTATTACCTCGCGAAAATGAAGCTTGTTAAAAATAATTGCGCAATCAATATAGATACATTACGTATGAGCTTCTTCGAGTTAAAAAATAAAAAAGTAAAAACATGAACTTTAATTTTTACTATTATTATTTTTCTCTCTCAAATGTATACGTTTTTTTTTATACTTATTCCTATTCTTCTTAAGTCGTATCGTAGTCATTCATTTTTCTTCTAATATTTAGTGCATTATCGCCCACAAAACTTGGAAATATGAATGTAAATATATAATTTTTAATATACGTGAGAATTCTCAGTGTATTGAGCTCGGGTCCGTGGGTTCGCTAAACCCAAATGACTGTGCGGATCAGCCATCCCTGCGGGATACGCGAGTTTCTCGTGTTACGTATCCTTCTCGTGCATCGTATTCGATTAAAATGCAAGTCACCTAACGTCGCGCTAAAAACCAGCCGTCAAAAGCAGACGTGATTATAAATTTTATCACGTGCACATCTACATCTCGCGCGCATGATCTTCGATCCGGTCGATGCGGTCTACAATGCAACATACAATCGTTACGTTGCATTTACGCTCGGTTCTTTGTCAGGATTAGGAAGAACATCTTGGCTCCTGGCACCAGCATTATGTGCAGTAAATAATATGCAGATACGTACGTGGCAATAAAGTTAAAAAAAATATCATGAGAAAATAAATATCATTCAATTAATATACAAATAATCTTTATTATCTCAAGTAATCTCCCTTAAAGACAATACGTCTGACAACGTTTGTACAGCTTGCGAAAATTTCGTGAAAAGTCATTCTTGGATATCGCCGTAAGTCTTGTTGATACACAGTTCTGATTCAAAACGTGTATGACAGTTCTTGACTCAAACAAGGCGTTGCATTATCACTTCAAATCACTTTTCCTACTCTCTCAATTTTGCTCTCACAGACTTCTTTTTATTCTCTAAATTAAAGGAGGAGGAAGGAACTCGATTTACATTTCGGACATTTAGAACTGTGTGACAACAACACTTCAAACGATATGACTTTTCAAAAATGACTTTTCATATTAGAGTTTCTGCAAGCTGAACGTTATCAGAAGTGTATTGTCTTTAGGGAGGATTATTTTAAAGGATAATGAAGATCATTTATACATTAATTTAGTGGTATTTATTTTCTCATACTAAACTTTATTATCACACTACATATATAGTGAAGCCATCAATTCACTAACCGCTAGCCAGTGTCGTAAAAAGTTTCATTGATCGCAAATTTTACGAACACACAGGGTGTACAAAGCGAACAGATTAATGTAATCCTCGGTGGCATCGGGCGGTACGGTGAAAGGAAAAGGTTACGGGAGCGAATACTCGATAACGATCAAGATATCTTCGGCAAACACCGCGCTAGAAACGATGGAACCGTAAATGCCAGCCGCTTTCGTATTCCGAGAGACGGTAACAGCGTGACATGTGATTTGCGCATGCAACGTTAACTCAGCCGTTGTGAAAGATTTGCACTTTTCGACAAGTGCTTTCCTTGCAACTATAATAAATTTTGTAACGCACATGAATTATTCATAATTTCGATAATTTACGATTCATTGCTTTTTGCAAGTAAAACGTCCTATTTCATGCAATTTATGAAAATTAAACGACGAATTTAAACTTAACTTTACACGGAAATTTGATTTTTCTGAAGTATTTACAAATTTAATTAGATATTTACAAATTTAATTAGATACTGATCTAAAAATAAAATGTTAGTAATCTCAAAAATGATAAACAATGTTATAAAAAAAATATTTCGTATTTTGACATTTTTTACTAGCAATCAGTTTAAGCGTCCTGCATAATAATTTTAATAATCTAATAATTATTTTCAGATCCGTTCTAATTAAATATTTGAGAAAAACTACGAGTATCATCTTTCTGTGTATAAGATGGAGCACAATATCTTCGCGCTAACGTAAACCATTTACGGTACGAAAGGCGCCTTAAAATTCCTAGTTTTTTTTTTAAATAAGAATTCTACAAAATAATACGCAGTAAAAACATGAGCTTGCAATTTCATGACTACTTTTTCTTCTATTTTTATCCAAGACGTATATACAAAGCATTTCTTGAATAGCAAGTTCATGAATCCATTCCGCAACTATGCCACGTGTTTTGCTAATAAATCACCGTTATGCTCGTATATTCGAGAATTATCAATGCAAAGCCACTTGGTAGATGTAGACACTTCGAAAGTATTATCATCTTTGCTCCCTCGACATGACGAAAATTTTTAAATCAAAAAGTACTAGCGCAAAGAGTGGTGCATGCCTGTAAGTTTATGGCGAGAAGAAAAACTTACGCCTGCAAATGCGAGTATAAACGAGCTTAATAAACTTCACGAAACCTCTAGCAGGAAGTGAGCGGAAGTAAATCGCCATCGCGTTGACAGCATTAAAGATTTATAACTTGCTCGCGCGTGCAAGGAAGAATCATAATGTGCTTGGAAGCTTGCAGTCAAATATGCTTGCTCACCATCGCTCGTAAACATACATTCTGATAAATTTTCAAGTATGATATTGCAGGAATGGTTTCATACACAATTCCACAGC